GTCCAGGCCGCGGCGCCGCACCAGGAACTGGAGGGGGAGGGGTGGGGAAGCGGGCGGGGGCGGGGGCGGGGCCACAAGGGGAGTGCGTGGGTGGATGGGTGGGGTAATAATGTGAGGAGGACGGGCCCTTGCTGGAGCCATTGGCCGCGCCCGGGGCGGCATGGTTGTCTTGAAGCATAACGAATCTGTGAGTGCACACGTGTAGTCATGCAACACGGGTGTGGCAGTATGCCCCAACCGGGGCTGCCGGGCCCAGTACCAAAGCCACGCAATTCCACGTGACACACACAGCCCCCAACCTTGTCCCTGGGCCCCAAAGCAAAGATGCCCTCCGCCGCATGGCCCTCCCAATCCACGTCTTCGCGGTCGCTGTCGTCGCTCTCCTCATCTGCGCCGCCGCCGCCGCCGCGCCCCCTGCGGCTGCCCTGCGTGCGGCCGTCGCCGCCAGGGGATGCGCACTCGTCGTCGTCGTCGTCGTCGCCGCCACTGCCATCCGCATCCACCTGCGCCGACGCCTGCCCGGCCGCGCCCGCGCCCGCGCCCTTGCGGCCGCGCTTCCGGCCGGCGCCGGCGGGCGCGCGGCGGCGCTTCGCAGGGGCGGGTGCGGAGGGCAGGGGGGCGGTGGAGGTGGAAGGGGCAACGCTGACCTCTGCCGCGGCGTCGTCTTGCTGCTGCGCCTCGCTGTCGCCCGCCTCATCCTCCACGACCTTGGCCTTTGGGGTTAAATGGATCAGGTGACAGGGTGGCAATAAGTGAGCAAGGACCGATTTGATTTGCGCAGCTGGAATGAGATATTCATTGTGGGAAAGTTGGCTGCATGCGCGAGCGGCCAGCCCAGACCAGCTGCCAGTACACAACACTCAAAACACACCAGGTTGTGGCGCCCATAACGACAGCAAAGCAAGTAATAGACAGCTACTCATGACAAAACAGCAAACCACTGATTACGGAGCTACAAAACCCCCACCTTCCTCTTGCGCCCGCCGCCGCCCGCCGCCGGTGCTGCGCCCGCAGCCGCGCCGCCGGCAGAGGCACCGCCAGTCGTGGCGCTGCCCTGCTGCTTGTCCTTCTTTGCCGCGCGCGCCTCCTTCTGCGCCTCCTTGATGGCCGCAACCGCGTCGCCGCCCATCTCGGCCAGCTTGGCCTCGACCTCCTTCTTCTCGGCATCAGCCTTGGCCTGGGAATATGAATTTGAAATGAGGGGCGCATGCAAAGGTTGGGCGGGGCACATGTACTTGGGAGGTAGGTTTCAAGTGCATGGCTCAGGCTCCATGTGCATCAATCAGCATAGCATCGGGGCCAGTCGCATGGTTACGCCGAAAGAGGTGCGTTGCAATCAGACGGGAGAATGCCAGGGGTTGCTCAACGCAGGTGGAGCGAAGTTGTAGTTGAGGGTTTTCTGGGCACAGGTCAACCCCATGGGATTGCGGTGCCCACCGCAACTGCCAGATTGACTCTTGTCAATGGCTCGGCCGGCAAGCCTGTCACTAGCCCTAGGCTCGGCCGCCCGTCTTCCGCCACACCGCCTGAGCCTTGCCCATGATAACCCAGGCATATGAGCCCCCACCCTACCTGGTAGGGTGCCTTCTCCTCGGTTGTCATGCCGCGCCACTTCTGGCCCATGAGGCTGCCCACCTGGGTCGTGGACAGGGACGGGTCCTCCGCTGCAAAAGGGCGATAGCAGCAAGGAGAAAAGGATCAAATATTGAGCTTGTTATGCAATAGGTAGGAGCCAGTAGGCAAGTGTTCTTGGGTGGGCCGCATGTACGAGGTCATGGACCAGCAGTGCCATTCGCTGAAGCAGCGGAGGGCGGCCCCGGGGGGAAGGGAAGGGGGGCGTATCAGATCCAAGATGTCCTGAATACCCCAAAACCCTGATCAACGGCAAGAAAGGCCAGGTCACCCTGGCGGCGGCCCCATCTCTTGACTCACCCTTCATCTTGGGGCGCCACTCCTCCGCAAATATCATGAAGGCGTTGCGTGCCCTGGGCAGCTTGGGGGCGGGAGCCGCCTTGGGGCCAGCTGGCGCCTTGGGCGCGCCCGCGGCCTTGGGCGCAGTCACCGCCTTGGGGGCGCGCGGCTTGGGAGCGGGCTGGGTGGGGGCAGCGCCGTCGCCGCTGCCATCCTTCTTGGCCTTGGGGGCTGCAGAATGGGTAGGGGATGGGGGACAAATGAGGGGGTGTTGAGCGAGGTGCGTGACAGTGCCTGGGGCCACATGCCGCAACCCCTTGCGCAATAGTTTCCCATGCGTGCAGCCATGCAGCGGCATACGCCCCTGTTGCGCGCACCCCAAGAAGATGCAGCGCCATCCCCGTGCCCCCACCTGAACGAGCCACACCTGAGCCAACTGAAAAACACCCCAAACGCTAGTTCATTTCCACACTGCATTACCTGCAAGGCCCCGCTTCTTGGGCGGCAGCGCCGCAGGCGCTGGCACCGAGGTGGCCGGTGCGGACTCGCTGGGCGCCTCGCTGGGCTCCTCCTGCCCCTGCGCAGCCTCCTGTTCTCCACGCTCCTCTCCATGGTCGGCAGCCTGCCCCTCCTCCTGCTCCTGGCCTGTGGGCGCCTCCTCGGCCAAGGTGGGTTCGTCTCTGACCATCGACTCGGGGGCGTCGGCGGCGGGGCCGCCTGCGGCAGGGGCGCCAGTGGCAGGTGCGGGTGCGGCCGCCTCGGCGATGGCGTCGGAGGCTTCTTGCTGCTTGGCGGGCCGCGCAGCAGCAGCCGCCGTGGCTATAACCGGGGCCGTAGCGAGAGCCGGCTGCAAGGCGTTGCTGCCGCTGCCGGTGGCGGCGTTGTTGTTGGCGGCCTTGGCGACGGTCAGGGCCTTGCGCTTCATGGGGATGGCGGGCTTGACAGCGGCGGGGGCTGTGGCGATGGCGGGGGCGGCCGGGGCTGCGTTTGGGTCCGACAGGGGGGTCAGGACCTGCGCCAAGGGGTGCCAGGTTGGGTGGGTGGAAGGTAGCATAGTCGTGTGGGCAGCCACCAGCTTATCGTGCACGGAAGCACAGCAACTTGGCACGCATCATCGCCATGCCGCATGCTGAGAGTGCGAACAGAGGTGTGCATGCGTCGCAGCTGTGCTACGTGTTGAGACTTGAGCATGCCCGCATCTCTGCATTGGTGCAACCCCTGGTAACCCATGCACATCGTGTGCCAACCCACGGCGACCCCCGCTTTTCCCTCTCACCATATCGTTCTCTTTGTTGTCCTGCAGGGCCGCTTCCGCTGCACTGGGCTCGGCCTCGGCTTCTGCCGTCGCCTCCGCCGACCTAGGCACGGGCGACGCGACCATTGTAGCCTCAGCGTGGTTGGCGTCAACAGATGCGTCGCCGTCGTTGGCACCTCCCAGCTCGCCGATCTCTGCCTCGATGTCATCCAGAGTCTGGCAGGTACGGTGGGGCAGCATGGATCGCCAAGGAGTGCTTGGGGGCGCGAGGAGTTGCAGGGGGCAGTGCAGAGGCAGCGCGCATGTGAGCGTTCGACAAGCGTGCTCTGAATATGGCCTCTAATAAATCACTCTGGGCATTGCATGCACCCTGCATGGTGACCGTGGTGCGCTCATGCACACAGCCAAATGTCCTCGCAGATTTGGCGCCAAATTGGTGGCGGCAGGCTCAACAACACTGTGCTTCGTCCACTGCATAAAGCAGCATGCTGCCAAGCTGTGACACAAAACACGCACCGGGTCAAAAATCTCATCGGCATTGGCCATGGCTGCTTCTGCCTACAGCCGTAGAGGTTTGATGTCAGCTTGGAACGCGGCGATGACGCACCCGCCCCCTCGGCCCGCTGCTGGTATGGGATCCCTTCTCCATCCTTCCGCACGGAATCAGCTCAAATCAATCGTCTCACCTAACAAATGGCCCTAGCGACCATCCAGTGTCCTCTGAGGTCTCGCGAACAGAGCCTGCGTGATCTGGTTTGTTGTGCAGGAACTGGTGCTCAATGCCGTCAGATTCGCAGCATACAGATGATTCAAACGATTGAATAAACTTGTGTTCATGTAAGGGGTGTCAAAGAGGAAGGCAAAGCTGCACTTGCGCCTCCCGCCCGCTCGGCGTCGAAACTCGAAACTCATCACTGGAGAAGGCACCTGATGGCCATTAAAGCGTGTAATTTACATCAGGAGTCAGGCCTACTGCTTCAGCTGCCTCCCGCGGCTGCGCACTGCTCGGCGCTCGCCTCGCTGGTCGCCACCAGCCCGGCCAGGAGGTCCAACACACCCCCCATGTCTGCATGCGCTCCAGTGGCCTGGTCGTAGTGGCTGTAGGCAACGCGATCACCATCAAACACAAAGATGCCGCCCTGCTGCAGCGCCTGATCCAGCTTTGGTGGCTGCCAGGGCTTCCAGCGTGGCAGCAGCTCTCGGAGGTCGGCCATGCCGCCCTGCTTCTGGGCGCGCTTGAGCAGCGCCATGGGCGTCTGCGGAATGGCATAGAAGAAGTACATAAGACAGCGCATGCATGCCATATGTGAAGTGGCCGGATGCCCTGCAAGGTGCTGAAGGCCATGCAAGGCCTTCAAAGCACCTCAAAGAGATTCTCAGTGCCCGCCGCCCCACCCATCAACATCTCCAACACACCCACCTTTTCCGAGAAGAAAGTCTGCCGCACGCCCTTGACCAGCCCCAGCGCCGCATAAGTGGCGCCGTCCGGGTCGGCCAGCAGACAGTCTGAGGGGAAGCCTGTCTCCATGACAAAGTCTGTGGACCGCTCCAGGGTGCCAACTAGACAAGCCAGGGGGGGTTGACACGGGAAGGGGTCGAAACTGTCCGCATGATTCAAAGCTGATTTTGCATGCAAACAGTATGGGCGCAGGCTTGACGGAGGCTCAAAAGCCACATTCAGCGCACGCTGCACTCACTTGCCACCAGGTAAAGCTTCGTGCCCTGATGAGCAGTGCGGCAAGATTGCTACAGTCAGATTGTGGCAGTTGCCACTCCGCCAGCCTCTTATCCGCGAGTCAAACCAAAGGCAGCACCCCAGGCGGACGATGTTCAGCGCTCGCTAGGCCCCGCTCAACGGGCCAATCATTGATTTCCCACCTGCTTGTCCAGCACGGGCTTGATGTCCCTCCGAAGCTGGGTCGCTAGCTCCCTGCATCGCAGCAACAAAGCGCCGAGGGCAGACGTTGCAGCAGCTCGTGGGCATGCGGCGCTCCAATAGATGCACCTGGAAAGCAAATGCTGGCGACAAGTGCACCGAAAAGCAATGCGGGAGGTGTGACGCTGCGCGCAGACGTTCAGCACTGGCCAGTACTCAACCCTCAGCACCCACCAGCAGAAGGGGCAGCCGAACGTGCGCGCCCACACCACCACGGCCCGCTCAGACGGGGCCCACAGGCTGGGAATGTCCAGCCGGGCGCCATCACTGCAGCGGATCACCTGGAGGCGTCACATACAGTAAAGACCAGATCAGGCATGCCACCAGGACAAATTGCACAGGCGAGCCCACTCGAGCGCACGCACCAGGATCCTGATTTTGCCTAGCCAGGACATCAGACTCACTGTCGCTCACCTCAACGCCCTGCAGTCTTTGAAACGCATTAGAAGCCGCTGTCTGCTGCACCACTGCAGTCGCGCGCACGGACACCACACGCTTCCGCACCGATGACACGGTACGAGGGCGCCGTTCTGCCGCTGCTGTGCCTGGCCTCACGGGCTGTCGAGAGAGAAGGGCTGCCATTGCTTTCTTGAGATAGCAATCGCACTTGCTAAAAAGCAGACGTGATGCGTCGATCGAGACTCCGCGCGTTGCGTCGAGAGCAGAAAGGTGGACCGAGAGCAGAGAGGTGTTGCGCAGCAACTTGAGAAACGCGCTGATAAAGTTCGAGAGCCGTTTCGCAAGCGGGGACGCCTCATCTCAGTGTTGCGTCACCGATGTCACCACACCATGACTGCCGCCGCTGCTGGTTGCTGTTGGTGCTGCTACGCTGACGGGCCCACCGCCTCGAGACATTCAGCTTGTTGACGAATGCATGAAGTAGGATCTCTTCAATTGAAAAACCCCAGTCATGAGCAAAGCACAACACCACTGGACAGTGCTGCGGCATTTGTCTGGATGGTTCTGTGGGGTCAGCACTCCAGCCTGTCCTGTCGGCAGCCTCTGAGCAGTGCCACGGTTGTGGACGGTGCTACGTTGACGAAGGAAAGACTGCCGTGCAGAGGCGGATGCTCTGCACTCTAGACCTTGACGCTGTTTTGGTGCACACTGAGACTACCTGGCAGCGCAAGGGACACCTGTGGGGTGTGCAAGTGGCGACTGCACCCACCCCTACTTCAAGAGCATTTTCAAACTCTACAAACTTACCTTTTCAAGCTAGGCATACCTTGTCGAAATTGGGTGCCCAGTCTTACAGCACAATGGCGGCACTCATGGCGCAGCGCAAGCAGCTCTTGGCCGCGGCCCCGGCGCGTGCGCGCTGCTCGGCAGTTGTCTGCAGGGCCACGGCTGCCCCGGAGGAGCGCCCCAAGGTGCAACAGCTGCTGCTATCGGGTGTCGTCGCCTCGGCGATCCTGCTGGGCAGCGCCGCTGCCCCTGATGAGGCCTTCGCCGCCGCACGAAGCGGAGGCCGCGTGAGCGCCAATGGCTTCGCCAAGCGGCGCGCAGGGTGCGTAGCTATGGTCGCTTTGGGTCAGAGGTACTTGTGCAGATGATTCGCTAGCGACGCCAGGGTCGACGGGGTGTTGGAGGACCCACACAGTTCCTCCGACCTGCCGATCTGCACCTGCGGCCCTGCAAGCCTTCTAAAATCGTGCCAGAAATTATTGTCAGCGTCGCCTGCACTGCACCGGGCCGAGGCTGCGTCGTTCGTCCTGATCCATGGGCTGGGCTGGCTGCATGGTTGGGTGTCCCGCCCTGGTGGCGTCGCCCCCGCCGCGCTCCCGCCATCAGCCGTTTGGGCACCGCAACAATCAGACGGCGTGGGGTGGCGCCATCAGCAGCAGGACTCAAACGTAGAGGGCGTCACCATGTTCGGTTGTTCAAACGCAACCACACTGCTCACCCCCTGCCTTGCCCCACACCCGCACCTTGGCGCAGCCCCGAGCCCCCCAGGGCGGCGGCATCTGCTTCCGCCTCCACCTCCACCTCCAGCACCAACACCACCGTCATCAACAACAACACGACCGTCATCGCCGCGCCCCCGCCGGTGGTGGTGGCGCCGCTCTTCCCGCCGCCGCTCTTCTTCCCGCCACCCATCGTGCCCATCCCGGTGCCTGTCCCCGTCCTCTCGGCGCCTGCGCCGGCCCCGGCGCCGGCCCCGGCACCCACCGTGGTGGTTGTGGAGGTGCCAGCTGCGCCCGCGGCGCCCGCCCTGGTGAGCCCCACCAGCACCGCCTCGGCCGTGACGATCAGCGTCCCGTGAGCACCGCGGGCTTGCGAGCAGAGGTTGGCTGAGCGCCGGAGTGGCGGCTGCTGCGACCGCAGCTACCAGAGGGCTACGCTTGCCAGTGCGTGACGCGGCCTGGCGGCTGTTGTACAGGAAGTGAGAGGCGCGGACAGTTGGTTGCTGTCGAGAGGGTTGTAGATTGTAAGGGTGCCGTCGGCGCTGAGTGCACCGCATACACCGGCAGTGTTGCTGGTGGCAGGCCAGCCGCCACGTCCATTGGTTTTAGGCATGCCACCAAGGCCTTGCGGCTGCATGAGCACCGAGCACGATGGATACGCGCACGTGCGCACGCTTGTCCCGAGTGCTTGCGGTTGTGTGCCTCTGGCGACGATGTTGTGTGACGGCAGACTCCTGGCCCCAGTTTAAAATTAGTCTTGTGTGTGTCCCTATGACGGTGCTGTGTGCTCTGAAACAACGCGCTCATGGTGTGATGTTGGTCAGTCATCCTGTTGCGTCCCATGAACGCAGTGTGCCGAAATTTGCACGGCCGCTATTCGTCTATTCGACTGTAATCAATTTGTGCCGGGTGAGCCTTGGCTTGAGTCGTAAATGGAAAAAGTAAAGTGAGAAGCAGGGCAGCCACCCTGCGCTCTGGAAATCGCCAGGATAGTGTTGACACAGACCGGGTTGAAAGGCGGCGTGTGGCAAGGGGCCATGTGCTGGGGCGGCTCAACTCATCACTGGCCTCGGTTGGCTGGGGGCAGGAGCGGCTGACTATGGGTCCGGCGTTGTGGACGAATGTTCCCATGCCGGGCGCTGCACAGCTGATTGATTGATCATTAGTTCAAGCATATGCTTGTTACAATGCCCAAGCTTCAATGTACTTGGCCCAGCACGCTCTCTTTGCAACAGCAATGCCTAGTGTCACCGCAGTCACCAACCAGTATCACCCGTGCGGCATTCATCACACACCGGCCCCACAGCGAATGATATGTAAGATTTTAGATCCAGCGCGCTGACCCCTGCCTGCACCCCACGGACGTCTGCAAAAACGCTGATCTGCCGAACGCCGAGCAGCAAACTAGAATTCCAGGCTTAAGGGTGAGGCCTATGGTCGTATCTTGAAACATACGCTAGCCATCGGCGTGACCAACCGATGGGTGCGAAGCAAGGCCTGGAGCTTCTGATCCGTGCGCAGCCCGCCCAACGCTTTTCCGCCGCCGTCGCCCACCAAGCAGGTCCGCGCAGCGACGATGTCACGTACTGTGAATGTCGCACTTGACTGGTGAGGAAAGCACAGATAGCCAATGTCTGCAATGCGCCTATGGGCTATGCGCCGTGGCACCCAGCTTCTGAGCGGTGCAGGTCTCAGCGCTTCGCATGGCGGCTGCCACCGCCCATGACGGTCTTCAGAGCCCTCACTTGCAAACGTGGTCAATATACACGCTCCTCACGCGCACGCACCACTATGCGCCGCCCCGCGCCCTGCAGGACCCCCAACACCAATCACGGCGGCCTCGCGCTCGCCATCCAGGAGGGCTGGTTCCGAGAGGCCGGCCTGGACGTGCGGCTGGTGTCGCCCCATGCAGACAACTACGAGGCGACGCCGGCGTCGCGGCTTGAGGCGGGGACGGCGCAGTTTGCCATCGTGCCCAGCGAGTCCGTCATCAGCTGGTGCGGCTGCTGGGGGGCTGGCGAGGGGGCGGGGTGCTGTGCATGGGGAGCTGCGAGCAAGCATGTGTTGTGTGCGGTGCATGACAGTGCCCGTGCACGCCTGACGCCCGCTTCTGTCAATCATGGTCTCTTTTAGCGTCCCGACGAGCGCATACTGGGAACGTTGAGATTACAGGTGCAGGCGCAGCCGTGGCTGCTGCTGCTCCAACCGCCCCGGTGTCCCGTTGAACCCAGCCGCGCCGATTCATTCCAAGGCACACCTGGCCCGGTGATGCCAAGCCCAAGATCAAGGCAGTGGCCACACTGCTGCAGGGCAGCGCCCACGCAATTGTCACCCTCAAATCCAGCGGCATCGACCGGTGGGCTGGGCAGCGGCCCGCGGGGCGCGGATGGGAAGGAGCGTGCGGCACAGCACGAAGAGCAGGGCGCAGCTGCAGAGGCCAGGGCTCGGGGCCCTGCCGTTCGACCTGGTACATGGCGAGGCCCCCTGCCCTCTTGTTGGAACTGCGGCCCCCCTGTTCTCAAGGGACTTGAGCACCGCAAGGCGCCCCGGATGCACATCACCCAGCAAGTGCGGCCGCACTCTTCCACGCGCCGCGCCCTGCACCTGTGGCGCACCGCCTGCAGGCCCTCCCTCCTCGATGGCAAGACATACGCCAGCTACGGGGCGCGCTACGAGGGGCGCATCGTGCAGGAGATGATAAGGAAGGACGGCGGCAAGGGGGAGTACGTCGAGTCCACGCCCCCCATGCTGACCATTTGGGACACATTCTTGAAGGTGTGGGGGTTGCGGGATGGCTTGAGGAGGAGGCCCAGCTGTGCGTGTGCCTGCAAATGCGCACGCGAGGCTGCACTTGCAGCTGCATGTGGGTTTCATGGGCAAATCTGCGCTTGAAGTCAACTGCGGTGGACGACAGCACTTAAAAGGAGTTGAACATCACGCATGCTTGCGGGAGAGGAGGAGTCGACGTTGGCTGGCCAGCCGTCGCGGGTCCGGCCGCGACGTCACTCATCGGGCGCTCCGCCGCCCGCTGCCCTGCAGGGCGGAGCCGACGCGACCTGGATCTTCTTGCCCTGGGAGGGCGTGCTGGCCAAGAGGGCGGGTGAGGGGCGGGCACTCGCTGCGGCAGCTCCGCCGCCAGCGCCATGGCCAGCGCGGCCGCCCTCCACACTGAGAGGGCCGCCTCGGGAATGCCTTGTGCCAGGAGTCCCCGGGAAGCGGGGAGAGTGGCGCCATCCTGTATCGCCATCTGTATCCCAACGCTCCAACTTCGACTTTGTAACCGTGCCCCTCAAACCCAACCCATGCAAACCACACACCACCGACCGACGCGCGCTCAAACACGCAAGGGGTCGAGCTCAACGCCTTCAACCCCGCGGACTACCTGGACTACGGCCACTCACCGGTCATAGCCGCGCACCCGGACTTCCTCAGGTGCGGACTGCCTCTGCCCAGGCCGCGCCCGCCGCCGCTGCGCGTGTCCACTTTGCGCACGCCGGCACCTGAAGTTCGAGGGCCGCGAGGTGTCGCACCAGAGGGCGCTGCCGTCTAGATGGATGGATATGGCTGCAGCGCGCCAGTCGGCCCGAACATGCATTGCAGAAAAACAAGCTCGACCCCAACACGCACACGGCATTCCGCACCCACGGCCCCGCCAGGGACTCTCCAGACGTGGCGCGCGCCTTCCTCGCGGCCGCCGCCCGCGGCTACCGCCACGCGGCCGAGCACCCCGCGGACGCCGCCGCCGCGCTCTGCGCGTACGTGGATGCGGGCGTGTCTGCGGGCGAGTGGCCGCCGCTGCCGACGCCGCTTGACCCGGCGATGGTGGCAGACAGCGCCGCGGCTGTAGCGCCCCACCTGCTGGGGCCCCAGGGTTGGGGCCGGATGGATCTGGAGAGGTGCGAGGGGATTGTGGGGCAGGGGGTGGCATGCTTTGGAGCGCTCTGCTGGGCCAGCGGGCGCGTCCTGCCACCAGACTTGAGCAAGCCAGGTCATACGACGCACAAGCGGCGACCGACTGGTCAACCAGCGAGCCGCCTTCGCACGTTGCGTCTTGACCGCTCTGGCGTCCTGGACGCCGCTCACCTGCACACCGGTGCCCTCACTATGCCTATCAAGAGCACTTTGCCGCTGTCTTTGGTCAAACCAGGTGGTCAAATTTCCTGGCATTCCTGGACAGCGCGGGGCTGCTGACGGCCAAGGTGCAGTCGCGCGCCTCGGGGCCCGACAACGCGACACTCGACGAGCTGCGCAGCCCTGGCGGCGGAGGGGAGCGCGTCGCGCCGCCGCCGGCTGACAACCTGGCCACGAACGAGTTCCTGCCTTGATCTGATGTTGACCGGGCTGGCGCTGTCGACAGGTGGTGATTGCGTGATGCTTGACCGGTAATGCTTAATGTTCTGAGCAGCTCTGGGAGTGCTTATCATACCCCCAATGCTCTTTGCTTCTGTTCGTTCTGCAAAAAAGTCGCATCGTGCTGGCTGTTCAGAGCACATGTTATTGGATGTGCATCTAAAGGTTCAGTTTCAAGAGCGGCTTAGTATCTGAACGATCTCCAGGTCACCACCCCGGGGCAGGCAAGGTGTGGTAGAGACGGCTGGCAGATTGCAGGAGCGCGCAGCTGACCAAGATCCATGATGGCATGGCTGCCGTTACTTTGTGGTGTTACTGGCGCTTTTTGAGTGCAGCCTTCTTATGCCAGTCTTGGCAGAGGTTGCAATAGTACACTCGGGAAGACGCGCAAATCAAATGTGCTATTCAGCAGGCGCTGGTGCCATGGCAAAGCCACGCGCAAGCGTGATGTCACCCGCAGAATTGTTGCAATACCAGCCGAAGTGCCCCAACATAAAAGTCACCGCCGCGCCCTTGAGGCATCTGGCTGCCACACCCACATTGCCTCCCCGGCCGCCGACACCAGTTCTCCGCCCGCCCCAAACGCCAGCGCCCGAACGGGCCTGATGTGACCCGACAGCTCCACCGACGCCTCGCCCTCTGTGTCGGCCACCAGCACGCCGCCGTTCTCCATGCCAAAGGCGATGTACCGCCCGCACGGCGCGGCCGCCAGCGCCGCCGCCGGCGCAGGCAGCGCGAGCGTACGCAGGGGCCGGTTGGCTGCAGCGTCGAAAAGCAGGGCGGTGGCGCCGAGGCAGGGGCTGGAGAAGAGCAGGAGGCGGGGGCTGTGGGGCAGGAACACAACGCGGGGCTCGACGCCCTGAGGCAGGGAGTCGGGCACCTGTGGGAGGTGGTATGACATGCAGGGCGTCATGACAGGTTTGCAAACTGCGAGAGGGGCCGGCTCTGCTAACCACACCAGCACACAAACAACCGACGGCACACACAAGAGTTTGCCACTTACCTAAAGTAGATTTTGGCGTGTGTCTGCGGTGATCGTCGCCCAAATGATTGAGCAAACATCATCAGCACCCCCTGGCTCACCTCTGGGCAGCGGTACTCTGCCACCACCGGCGCCCTCTGCCCCTGCGCCGCCCTCCAGGGCGCCCCAAACACCACCAGCCGGTCCAGCCACGCCCCGGCGCACAGCCCGGTGTCGCCGGGGGACACCGCAAGCGCGTGCAGCGGCGAGACGGCGTGCGTGAAGTCGTGGCAGATGGATGCGAGGCGCGACGTGTCGGTGTGGGTCACCGCGATGGAGCCGTCCCTGGCATCGACGTGTGTGCGAGCGGATATCCTTTGAGCAGGGGACAGGGGCCAACGGCCAAATGGCACAGCAGCGCAGCGCAGCAGCAGTACACATGAGGACGCAGATTTGATCGTTTTTCCAACCTTCTGATGCTGCATCCATGTATGCATGCCTTCAACTGCCCCGAAAACACCATCCTAGCCAACCTGCTCGCCGACAAGAGCAGCGGCTGCGTTGGGTGCCACGCCAGCGCCACCACAGGGCTCGGGTGCCGCGCGGCGCTCCACAGGATGGCGCGCCGCCGCAGGTCAAACACGCGCAGACGGCCGTCAGCATATCCCGCAGCCAGCAGCGGCGGCTGCTGCGCGGGGTCGCCGCCGCCGCCGGCGTCAGGGCCGGCGGCGTCGTCGCCGCTTGCGGGGCCGGGAGCGAAGCAGGCGGCTGTGCAGGGCGCATCGGATTCGAACTCGACCGCAGGGAAAGCCTGAGCAGGGAGCGTGGGGTTGCGGGAGCAAGGGTCTCGACACACAATGCAATCATCCAATATGATTTTTGCTGGCGGAAGAAGCGATCCATCACCAATGAAGTATGAATCCGGCCATGATGCACATCATGCATGTGCAAATATTTCCCAAGCACCGCACACTCACAGCGCCAGAAGCGCGAACCCCTCCTCCCCACACACACCTGGGCGCTGTCCGCCTGCCAGACCCGCAGCAGCCCGTCGCTCGCCACAGACACCACCAGGGACGGCGCGGCCGGCCCCGCACCCTCATCCCCCCCGCCGCCGCCTGATCGCCGCGAGGGCCCCGCCGACACCAGCAGCAGCACCTGCCCCGCGTGCCCGCACACTACCGGCATGCGCGCGCCGGCGGCGCCCTCGGCCAGCGATACGTACCACGCCGTGCAGCCGGCAGTGGCGACGACGCCCTCCGTCAGCCCCTCTGGCTCGAGGCTCATCGCCGCCACGGGGCCGTCCAGCATCACCTGTCCCTCCAGCTGCCAGGGCGCCGCGGCCCGGGGACTGCCGCCGCCGCCGACGTCATAGCGCAGCACGCGCCCCTGGTCCGTGGCAACGGCCAGGGTGCCCGCCCGCCGGCTCCACTGAAGGGCTGTCGCCGCCTCGCCGGCCGGCAGCGCGGCGCCGCGCACGCAGCACACGAGGCGGCCCTCTCCGAGGTCCGCGCGCCACACGCCGCCGGCGGCGTCGGCGACAAATACAGTGCGCGACGCCTCGGCCGCCCACGCAGCCCGGGGGCCTTCAGCGAACGCGTCGCCGCCGCCGCCAGTGCCGCCGTCAGGAACCACCCACTCGCCGCGCAGATTGGCGCCGTCCACCAGCTGCGGCGCGAGCAGCGCTCCCTCGTTGGCCCCACCGGGACCGACGGCGTCGGCGGTGCAAAGGGCGACGCACGCGCGCTCCGCGCCCGGCAGCGTGAGGGCCCGCTGCTCGAGGAACTGGGGCTTGAGGGTCCACAGGAGGAGGCCGTCGGCGCCCGCAGTAAGGAGCTGGGGGAGGGGGCGTTGCGGCAGCCATGCGACGCCGCACAGCTCCTGTTTGGGGGAGGGAGAGAGGATTTGGAGGGGAAGGGGCGGTGTGAAGGATTGGTCGAGGGCGGCCAGGGTGCGGGGGCGGTGGGAGGCAAGTAGCGCATGCAGGCTGGAATCAGGTCGGCGCTGGAGGTATGGCGGTCACTACGTGCGCTGCTTACCCTGCAAAGTTATCACGCACATGACAGGGCATGCTGCCCTTGATTTCACCAGCTCACGCACGACCTCGCCTGCTCATCAACTGCTCACACAAGTCCCAGCTGGCTGTGACTCATCCCGAGCTCTCATAGTGCAGCATTCCTCATCTTTCTTGCCAAGCCAGCCCCGCGTACCATACCCAATGAAACCCCGCCGACTATCATTCACTACCGCTGTTCGGTAGCACTCACCCCCTGTGTCCTGCCCAGGGCCAAGGGCTCCCCCTCCTCCAGGTCCCACAGCACCAGGCTGCCACCCATCATGCCACCAACATCGCCATCACCAGCACAACCACTGACGCGGCCGCCGGCCACGCTCGCACCTCCCGGACCGCGCGCTTCCGCTCGACGCGCGCCACCCGATGCCGACGCGAGCCAGGCGCCGTCGTGAGAGAACGCGAGCACGCCTACGCCGGCGCCGTGGTGCCGCAGCAGCCGCAGCAGCGCCCTCGACCGCACGTCCCACACGCACACCTCCGCCGCGCCGCCAGGCGCGTCCGCCGCGGCCGCGGCGGACGCCAGCAGGGCGCCGTCCGCGCTGAGCGCCAGCGCGCCCACCGGCTGGCGGTGGTGCTGCAGCAGGGCCTGGTGGTGCGTCTCCAAATCTTCCACGACGATGATGTTGTCCGACGCGTAGATCACAGATCCCTCGGATCGCGCCCAGATCACGCAGCGCGCCGACGCCGCGCCGAAGCCGACGATGGCGGCGTTCGGCGGCGCGAGCGGGGGCGCGGCGGCTGCGGAGGCCCGGCCCGTGATGACAGGCGAGGGCGCGAGAGGCGGGCTGCCGGGCGCGCCCGCGGCGAACAGAGGAGATGGCTCGGTGCCTGCGGTGGGGCGGCGTTGTTTGGAGTCTGATAAAAACTTGACGATGTGAGACGATGGCGGCCTTGAGCGCGTGTTGAGCAGTCGAGCAACAACTACTCAACATCAGGGACCAAGGAATGCAGGGGGGACAAGAGTAAGCAAGAGCCAGCCCAATTTTGGATTGCAGTGCCGGATTGCCCACCAGGGTCAACAGTGAGCCCCCGCAGCTCCTGCACCAAGCGCCCTTCGCTGCCGGCGCCAGACGCGGCGCCTGCCTCCCCGTCCAATCCGCCCAAACCGCTCTCCAGGACGCGCGGCGCCCACGCCGGCCTGCGACGCCCTTCGCCGTCGACCAGCCAGCTGCGCATCGTCACGTTCGCGTCTGGGTGGGCGTCGGACGCCGCTCTCGCGCCGCCGGCAGCACCACCACGCGCTGCCGCCTCGTTCCAAGGGCCCGGCCGCGATGCAGGCTGCGCGTCGAAGAGAGGCGCAGACCCACAAGCTGCCCCAGGCGTGAGGCGCCAGAGCGTGATGGCATCGCCGGCGCCGCAGGCGATGAGCTGGTTCCCTTGGATCGCAATATCTGTATTGCATTGCCATCAGGGGCGCATTGGTGGAGTGAATTCTGGCTGCTCAACATGAAGAGACCAGGACGTGCTTGGCTGGGTGCTGGCACTGACAGCCGGCCCCCAGGCCTGCAGGTAGCCGCTCAGCATGGCCCGCCGCAGGACTTGGCCCCTGGGGCCCCACTGCACACATCTCTCTATCTCTCTCTCTCTCTCTCTATCTCTCTCTCTCTCTTTCTCTCTCTCTCTCTCCCTCTCTCTCTCTCTCACACACACCGACATCCACACACACCGTGTGTCGTCGCTCACCTTTCACAGCGCCCGGATGTCCGACGAAGCTCTGGTGCGCCGGCGGCCACTCCTCGACGGCAGCGACCGGCAGACCCCGCTCCGCTCCGCCCGCCTCGACCGCCCAGACCTTGACAATCTTGTCAGCCCCGCCTGTGATGACGCCACGCCCGCCCGGCGCGAGCGCGAGCGCCTCGCAGCCGCCGCGGTGGGGGGTCGCGAGGCGCTGCGCGAGGCGGCCGGTGGCCAGGTGGAAGCGCAGCAGGTCGCCGGCGGTGGTGAGGCCCCACAGGCTGGCGCCGTCTTGCGAAAACAGCAGCCTGCCAGCGGTGCGAAGAAAGAATAGGCATCAGGGCAACTGCGATGGGGCTGGTGAGTGGCCGAGGCAAGCTGTGCTGGCCTTAACAGCACTCAGTGTCAGGGCACGGTGGTCACGCCAGCTCACACCAACAAACAGGTGCAGCCGCCTCACCCGGCTCAAGGTGCTGGTCCCTCCTCCCCTGCTGCCATGCACATGCCAACGAAGCCTGCCACTCTCGCCTCTCCCTCACCTGCTGTATCCGGCCGCCTGCGTCTCGATGCACAGCCGCGGCTCCAGCGACTCAGCATCAAAGACCAGCAGGCAGCTTCCCGCCACCGCCGCCGCTGTCGCCGCCGCTGCCGCGCCGCCAGCCGTGTCCGCGCCGGCCCCGGCCGCAGCTGCGCGCGGCCGCCGCCGGGGGCCCGAGGTTATCACCAGGGTCGCGCCATCGGGGCTGAGGGCCGCAGCGGCAGGGCCCGGCGGGGTGCGGCCCTGCGAGGCGTCGTCTCCGGGGAGGACACGCACTGGCTGGTAGCCCTGCCGGTGTGCCGGGTGTTTGCACGGGTGGAAGAGTCGTGGGTGTTTGGGGGGGGGGGACGCGCGTGTGACAGCACAAGCGGCAAAACAACATCAATAGGATCAATCGAGGCAGCAATACTGCTGCGCCGATTTGTCGAACAAGAGAGCAGAGGTCCTTCATTACGTGCAATCACTGCCGCCCCCTGGCTCTCTGCAAAACCGCGCCCCCCCTTGCACTCACCCGCGCCGCATCGCACACGACCACCGCGCCGTCCGCGCCGCACGACAGCAGCCGCGCGCCCTCCGGCCCCAGCAGCAGCCCCGCCACTGGCCCCGCGTGCTGCCGCGCGTCTCGCAGCACCCGCGTCGTCGCCACATCAAACACGCGGACCGCCCCGCTCTCGTATCCCACAGCCAGCTCATATCTGATGGGGTGGTACGCCACCGTCGTCGCGGCGCCGTCGCCCGTCACCCGGAACTCGTACAGCTGGCGGCCGGCGCCACCGGGCGCGGCGTCCCAGATGCGCGCGGTGCCGTCAGAAGACACTGTCGCATATTCTGGCCTTTGGGTTGGGAAGCGGGATGGACGGCATCAAGTGTCGTGGGGTTGGGGTCGCGTATCACTGCGGATCACACGAGGTTGGGGCTGGGGCGCGGCTGTGGGGGCCGCCTGGACATCGTCGGTAGTAGAGATTCAGCAGTAAGCCCTCAAAATCGAAAGCAACCAGACAGCCATACGTGTCGCGCCTGCACCAGCGCAGACCGGCCCTGCACACGCGCGCCCCCGCTGCCCGCCCTCCCGCCACTTACAAGCAGCAGCCCCACCACACCTGGGGCCTCGCCCCACCTGTCCGGGTGCGCCACGGCCGCGTTGACGCATCCGCAGTGGCTCCTGACCGCCGGCGCGTAGCGCCGCGCCCCCAGGTCCAGCACGCCCAGCGCGCCGTCCTCGCAGCCCACCGCGACGCGCAGGCCGCAGGGCGAGAGCGCGGCGGCGCTGGCGGGGGCGTCGTGCTCCGCCTCAAGCAGGTAGGAGCGGAAGTCGAGGGGCCACACGCGC